GTTGCTACAAAGTTAAATTACAAAAAATAACTAACCTCCTCCTTCCCAACCTGCACAGTTTGCATCTCAATGTCTGCGAATTGCACTTTCAATTCGTTCAAAACAGAAACGCCAAAGAGAGGAGATATAGGCCTTATCATAAGACTGTCAGTTATTGTAAACATCGCCGGTCTACTCAAAAATCCTGCATCACTTTTGTAATTGCCTAAGGATTTGCAATACTTCAGTTTGAGTGGAATTGCCGTCATGTTATAAGGGATAAGGGTTTTATCATTAGTCAATATTTCCTGGTAACCATCACCTGACCAGTAATATGCATAATAATATGAGGCCCCCTCAATTCCTAAAAGATGGTTCTCATCTCCAAAACCAGGATAAAGCTTCGGAGAGAGTAGAATTTCCTTGTGGTAATTTGACTTTAAGTAATGCTCATCAAGATCTTGGACACTCTTGTACAACTGATCAATGCAGCCTTTTGTAGAGGAAGAGCTATCCTGCATCTCTTTTAGTATGAACCCAAGTGGAACAGTTAGGAAACTGAAGAGTAAATTAACAAAATCCTCCCCTGCTTCTGCATAACAAATAATTTTCTTGGATTTGCTGACCATAAGATTGATAGAAATGTTTTTTTCCTCGTTCATGGTTTCTCCTGCGGTTTGACCCTTAAAGCATATTCCTTGCGTAACACCTTTACTGTTCAGATTTGGTTCTGGTTTATGCTTGAGCAGAATATCTGTCAAAGGTGTCTTAGACACAAATGAGCATATAAGCAAATTCAAAACCTGGAACAAAAAGATTAGGTCAGAGACAAATGTGACAAAAGATAAAAATTGGCATAAAAAGAAAACAGTTCAATTACCTCATCAAATCCTACATTCAAAGTCATCTCGTCAGTGCTGTTTGCATCCGTCACACCAACCTTAGTAAGGAAAGAAGAGACTGCTGAGTTTACTGGGGGCATCACTTCTAAATCATCACTTATTATAAATCTGGTTAGTCCTTTACAAAAGACACCGCCATTCGAAGGAGAGGAGCTTTTTAACTTTCCCACTGAAAGAGAAATCTCACGATTCATGGGTTCTCCACACTCACAGAGAACATCTTTGTAATGACTGAATAATTTATTTCTTCTGGTGCAATCCTTGGAGCACAAAAAGTACCGTGTGGGATCACCATTGTTAATTTTCAACTTGAGATTCTCGCAATGGGATTGAACCCCGTTGCGGGGACGTAGCAACATCTCTCTACATCCTTCAGTCTGGAAAAGACGTTTATCAGCATTCTCAACACTTGCATACAGATTTTTGATGCAACCTATTTCCAGTGGTACCGAATGTTTACACGCAAGCCTGATAATTGTTCCCATTGGGATTGTCAAGAAACTGAAGAGAACATCAACAAAATCATTATCAGACTCTATGAAGATAACTTTGTTACTCCTCTTTTCCACCAAGGCCTTCAAGCTGATAGCCATAGATTGCAAGATATGGCTTTGTTATCGTTTCTTTGTACAAATTCACCAACCAAAACTAGCACAAACCGTGGTGGGATGAAAACTTCTGATTAATATTAAAGCCTGTGTAGTCTGCCCTGATGGAAAGTTGTTGACCTGCTTAAACATGAAAGGAACTTCAAAATACTAATCAACTGCCTGCAAAGAGAGATATGGACTTAATCAAATGCTATGGCCAATCATTTTGAAGATATTTCTTGGGACTAGTAACATAGTTTTTACCAGACTAGGAAGCTTCAATAATAAAAAAGAACTAAAAAATAATGAATCCCAGAGATTGACACATTAATACCAAGCAGATTACTCATTTGAGTCCAAACAACTCAAAATTATTGGGCAAAAAAGAGATCAAACCTTTTTTCCGTAGAACTGCCGAGCCAAAGTAATGGATGAAGGTAACGCAAACGCAAAGACTTATGAAGAAAGAGTCAGCTGAAAGTTGAAAGCTTCTGTAGTAGAACTTGTAGAAGAAGAAATTTATGACCCACCATTTAGCTTTCCAAAAGGGAAGCATTCTCATTTCTTAACTAAGAAGAAATTTATGGCCCCACTGTACCCTGAAGATTCCAACCTCTGGAATTAAATATAGAATTATGACTTTAACCTTCAGCTAATGAGGTGTTAATGGAATCTCCAAAAAAGGAGACATTTAATGGGAAATAAAAGGCAAGAACTTGAAATTACCCAAAACATAAAGATAAAGAAAAAGCAAGATCTTGTGTTGCATGCTGAATCCTCCATGACCCAGTGGGTCCCATTTCATTGACTTAGCCTCTAATCAATGGAAAGGGAAGTCCTTGGCTTCTAGTAGGCAGCAGCAGAAGGCACTGTGTATGATATTTGGAAGAAGATTTCATCCCCATATCATCCACAAAGAACTCAAAACTTATTACAACTTAACTTCTCCTTTCTTTTATTTATTTTTCATTAGTTTTTTACTTTAGTTAACTTTCATCAATTTTGTGTAAATCAGGTAGGCCTCCGCTTAGTTAGTTTTCTAACGAGATTGATGAACTTGCTAATTGCAACTACAGCAACAACTGATGAGGTCGATTGAATTATATATAGAAATAATACAATTCTTGAAAGAAAAACAAGCCGGCATTAATACAGCAGGTCAATCATATAACAAACGTTCAGTAAGTATCCTGCATAAAGAAACCTCTACTAGCAATCTTCATCTATTAGATAACCAAGCTCTCTTTATAAACTTTTCTTGATTCAGCTGCCTAGTGAAGACATCAATTAGAGCAGAGCCGCTCAGAAAAGCAGCCAACAAAAGACGTAAAGCCTATGATATTAGTAACAACACAAGACCCATCAACAGTTAAAAGGGGGAAGGGTGCAGTGAAAGGGGCAACCTGAATTCTATAAACGTAGTTCAATGAAAATTGGCCTATTCACCCACTCTAGGCATTTTTAGTCATCCTACAGGTATTTTCACCCACGAAAAAAAAGAGAAAAAATTGAACTCTCAGATTGAAGATAGATTTGTAGATGGAAAGAGGCCTTGGAATCACGCTAGGGAAAAGAGAAGATTCGAGCGCATGATCGCTAGGCTGGTACCTTTTTTAAATGGGTCCCACTTTTGACACGTCAACATTTAACAGACTCACTAATAGTTTAGGTAACGGAGGGAGGCAATTTGTATGGTTTCCGGGAGTTTGAGTATGTACTCGTAAATATCTCTAAAATTGGGTATGAACTTGAAAATGACCCTATACTTTAGGGGGTTTTATGTAGTTTGTCCTTAAATTTAATATTTCATGGGAATATTCGCCTAATCGCTAGGCGGCTAACAAGGCGCTAAGCAAGGGCTATGCTATTTAAATTTAATATTTCATGGGAATATTCGCCTAATCGCTAGGCGGCTAACAAGGCGCTAAGCAAGGGCTATGCTATTTAAATTTAATATTTGAAGAGTATAGCCGCGCCTGTATAACCCCGATTTTCTTTTATCGATAAGAGTAGTTTAGAGTATTATCCATTATTATAAGGTCATTACCCGAGTCTATATTTTCCCTTTCTTCAACGGCGAAGGCCCTGAGATCTTATGTTGTATGTTGAATCCTCCACGGCCCAATGGGCCCCTAATCAATAGATAGGGAAGTCCTTGGCTTCTACTGTTAAAAGAGATCTTGGTCTGTGTATGGTATTTGGAAAGAGACTTCATCCCCATACATTTCATCCTTAAAGAACTCATAGTTTTTTACAACTTCACTTCTTTCTTTTTTTCTTCTTTTTTTTCTCTAGAAGAAAAACAAAGCCTGCATTATATTACATACAGCAGGTCATTCATGAAACAAACGTTCATTAAATATTCTGCATAAATAAATCTCTACTAGCAATTGAACCCATGACAATGAGGTCTGCTACAAGAAAGTGCAAACACAGTATCATCCATACTGGAGTTCCAGTTTGTATAAAGGCGAAGCATCATCATCATTTATTAGATAAGCAAGCTCTCTTTATAGACTTTTCTTGATTTAGCTGCCTAATGAAGACATCGGTTAGAGCAGAGTCGCTAAGAAAAGTAGTCACCAAAAGACGCAAAGCCTACAATAAGTAACAACACAAGAATCATCAACAATTAGGGAGAAGGGTGCAGTGAAAAGGGCAACATGAAAATTGAAAACAATTAACTCACCTCCTTCTTGCCAACCTCAACAGTTTCCTCCTTTATGTCAGTGAAAGGTACCTTCAATTCATTTATAATCGAAAAGCCAAAGAAAGGAGATGCAGGCCTTATGATCAGCTTGTCAGTTACCATGAACGCCGTTGATGCTTTCAAATACGCTTGAGTACTTTTATCATGCTTCAATTTGAGTGGAAGTGTCACTGCGTTAGAAGGAATGAGTGTTTTATCAGTAGCCAATATATCCCGCAAACGTCCATCCAGCCAATATGCATAATAATATGAGGCCACCGGGCCATCCTCAATTCCTAAAAGACGATGCTCGTAGCAAAAACCAGGATAAATCTTAGGACTCAGTAGAATTTCCCTGTGGTAATTTGACTTCAAGTGCTGCTCATCAAGATCTTTGACACATTTGTACAACTGATCAATGCACCCTTTGAAAGAGGCATCCCTCATATGCTTTACTATGAAACCAAGTGGAACAGTCAAAAAACTGAAGAGCAAATTAACAAAATCCTCCCCTGCTTCTGCATAACAAACAATATTCTTCAATACGCTAATTGTCAGCTTAACAACAATCTTTTCTTCTTCTTCTTCCTCATTCATCGTGTCTCCAAGCAGTAGAGATTCAATACGTGTCAATATTAGTTGATCCAGATTCAAAAGGCTCAAATTCGGATTTGGTACAGGATTATGCTTCAGTATAGTTTCGGACAGAGGTTTCTTTGATACTAATGAGCGCAGAAGCAAGTTCAAAACCTGGAAAAAAGACCATGAGGTCAGAAACCACAAACACTACAGTTGTATTAAAAGAAAATTAAAACAATTGGCAAACAACATTCAATTACCTCATGAGCTCCTATATTCAAATTCTGTTGTTCAGTTGTGCTATTCTCATTCATGGCTCCAAGCTTTGTAAATACAGGATTGCTTGCCACAGATAACGGGGACATCACATGTAAATCATCAGTAATTACGAACCTAGCTGATTCTTTAACAAAGATGCCCCCACCTTGCTCAGCAGAGGATGAAACTGACAGTGTGAACTTCTGATTCATGCATCTTCCACATTGACAAAGAACACCTTTGTAATGACTTATTTGTTGGAAATTTGACTCACATTAAGGTTGCAAGTGATGGAGGCAGCGACCGGTCGCAAGGTTTGGGCGACCGGTCGTTTTGAAGCAGGTTCAATGTCTGAATCGAAAATGACGAGCGACCGGTCGCCAGCTATTTGCGACCGGTCGCCCTAGCACAGATTCAATGTGTTTCGACTCTGCCCAAAGCGACCGGACGCCAGTTCCTGGCGACCGGTCGCCCAAATCGTGCTGTGACGTTTTCTTACGTGTTTTCAACTGTGTTTTCGAGGGCTATCGCTTTCCACAAGATTTCAGAGGCTTAGTGGGTCACTTCTGAGGTAAAAGAGGGTTGACTACCTGCTGGATAGTTGGGAGAGCACTCATTGCCAATTGTTTGTCTTGCTTTGAAGGATTCACTCTCCATTTTCTGGTGTAGTGGAAGGTGGCTGAAGTGGGAGTTGTTTACTTGCATGATCTGATCTTTAGTCTAAGTGGGAGACTAAAGGAAGGAACGTGGATGACAAGATGGTGCCTTATCTTGTGTCCATTGGCTTGTGTAGGTAATGGGATGAAGTAAGATAACACAAGGGAGAAAACAAGTTGAATAAGAGGAAGTGGCTGAAGCAGAAACAAAGTGTGGTTAATCTCAAGGTGGTCAAGTAGCTGGGTGCTATTGTGTTCAAAGGAGGTTAACTCACCAAGGGAGAACGTGAGGGAGAGCAATCAGTTCAAGTTAGGAGCTGAGTTGGGGTCTTGAGAGTCTAGACACCAAGGGGGGAAACACCAAGGGTTGTGAGAGTGTTCACAAGTGCATCAAAGTGTTGAGCAAGGGGTGTGAGAGAAAAGAGAGCTTAAGGAGAGAATAGAGTTCTAAGGGGGTTTTCTGTGTAAAACCAAAGTTGTAACTTATTCTTTCATGAAGTGAATTTCTCAAGGGGATCACCAAGAGGATGTAGGCAATTGCTGAACCTCTATAAATTCTTGTGTCACTTTGTGCTTGGTTGTTGTCTCAAGTGTGTGTGTGTGATTCATCCATCATTGTGTGTGTCACAAAGTCCATCAACAACAAGATCATTAGGGGAGTGAGTGAAAGTGTTTGTCCATTTTTTTCACAACATTATTGACTTATTTTCGAAGATGCATTGCCAACTATCACACACAAAGTACCCTGTCGGCTCATCATTGTCAATTTTCAGTTTGAGGTTTTTGCAATGAGATTCAGCCCCATTGTGGGGACATAGCAACATCTCTTTACATGCTTCAGTCTGGAAATGCCGAACATCTATATTTGCAACACTGGCGAACAAATTGCTCATGCAACCTATTTCCAGCGGTACTGAATGTTTACGGGCACGCCTGACAATTGTTCCCATTGGTATTGTGAAGAAACTCAAGAGAACATCAATAAAATCGTTATCAGACTCTACGAAGATAATTGTGTTGCTCCCCTTGTCCACCAAGGCCTTCAAGCTTATAACATTCTTCACAGCCATTGATACAGTAAGAAAGTACAAATTTGGCTTTTTTATCCTTTCCTTGTACAAACTCAGGGCAGAGCTTGAGCAGATAACAAGTACATGAAAAAGGCGACCAATATTTTTATGAAGAGGAATATTTGGGGAAAAATTCATCAAATATAATCAATCTTTCTCAATAAATTTGCAGATCGGTTTCTTTTGTGAAATGAAATTATTGCCATGTTTTTCCATTCTTTTCTTGATCTAATCCATCTTCTCTAATTAAAGTGAAATTAATTTTTGTACGCATGGTGCATGGTTCATCACATTAACTAGTAGGAAAAGAAAAATAGGCAGAATTAACGTATTGATCCACAGGTTCTGCTGTGCAGGAAATGAAAAGTCCTCCCCCAGGTTCAATTTTAAAGGAGGCTCTGGCTTTTTTTTTCTTTATACGAAAGTGGTGGGCGAAAGACCGTATGCATCATTCAAACCAGCCAAACCAAACCACATTTTTTTTGGGACAAAAAACCAAACCACTTATGGCAGTTTTGTTTGGTTTTTACACTAAAAAATTGTAATCTTAAATAGGTTCGAAAAATCGGCCTAGGCGGGAGGACACCGCCGCGATTTCACCCTAATCATTAGGGGTAGGCTCCAGGGAGTTAGGCGGCGCCTAGGCGCCCGCCTAGGAGGCCTAGGCGAGTCTAGGCGGGTCTGGGCGGGCGTTTTGCAGTTGAGGAGCGGACGAAGGGCGGTTGAAGCGCGCAGGAGCCGCTGCTTGTTAGGAAGAAAGACGGAGAGAGAGAGAGAGAGAGAGAGAGATCGAGACAGAGAGAGGAAGGAGAAGGCAACGCTGGGACGAAGAAGATACTTGACCTAATTTTTAATATAACTAACGGGTTGGGTTTTGTAAAATGGCCTTAAACATTGTATTAAAATGGGCCTATTTTTACTTTTTTTTTTGTTGCAGTTTGTAAAAATATCAAGGTTACTGAAAATACAAAAATAAAAATAAGATAATATCAAGGTTGGAAAATATTAAAGTTTTCTTTTTATATATCTTATTATTTTGCATGATTTTGGTATAAATTTATAATTTATAATACAAAATAATTATTAAAAAAAAGGGTGCCTATGCCCCGATTACTCCTCTAGGCTTCAGGCCCATGCTTGCCGCCCACCTATTGCCTACGGATTTTTCAAACTTATATTAAAAAAAGAAAAGCATATACATGAAAATGATGTATCATAAAATACACTTCACATTCAGAATAGGATGAAACTAAAAGTGGGCACTTCACATTCATGCATCTTCCACATTGACACATATCACCTTTGTAATGACTTCTTAACTTATTTCTGAAGTTGCATTGCCAACTATCACACAGAAAGTACCATGTCGGCTCATCATTGTCAATTTTCAGTTTGAGGTTTTCGCAATGAGATTCAGCCCCATCTCTTTACATGCTTCAGTCTGGAAAAGTCCCCTAACACTAGTAGACAAATTATTCATGCAACATGATACTGAATGTTACAGAGTTTGTTGTTCTTGCACTGGCTGCCTAATGAAGACATCGGATAGAGCAGAGCCGCCAAGAAAAGAAACCACCAAAAGACACAAGGCCTGAAACAATTGAAGGTATAGCCGTGCGGCTATTCTTTTTGACAAGTGGGATCCCAATCGTTAGACGGGTCTCTTTTTCCTATAAATAATAATATTGCCGCACGGCTATACTTGTTTGGACAAGTGGGAGCCCAGGTCCTAAATGGGTCTACTGTTTTTTTTTTATAAATCATATTGCCGCGCGGCTTCACTATGGAGTTTTTTTTATACAAAAATAGTATAGACGCGTCGCTATACCTGTTTTGACACATGGTCACCCAGGAGCTAGGTTGGTCCTTTTTTTTCTATAAATCATATAGGCGTGCTTTCGGATTTTTTCAAAATAGTGTAGCCGCATGGCTTTACTACGGTATTTTTTTTTTTAATTAAAAAATAGTATAGCCACTTAGCTATACCGTTTTTCAACATTTTTTAACACGTGGGCACCTAATCGCTAGGTGGGCTCCTAATCGCTAGGCGGGTCCCCTTTTTTTGCTATAAATATTATATTTGTTGTTTAATTAAATTATTAGAATAATATTTATTGATGTTCCTCAAACAAGTTTCACTCGAGAGAATGAGCTAGATCAAAATCAAACATACCCCAAAAAAAAAACATTTAAAAAAAACATTTTTTTTAAAAAAGGACCCTTCTAGTTGCATTAGTTTATACTTTGTAGATATTAATTTGCTAATTTCAATATATATACTTTATAGATTTAAATGTTTTTAAATATATCATTTTTATTCAATATTATGCGAAAATTATATGTATAATACATGAATTTTATGTGTATTATTGAAAATTTTGTAAAAAATCAAGGGTATTAAACATGAAAAATACATACATACGTGCACAATACAAGTATTAAAAGTGAAAATGTTAAATTCTTTATACGGGTCATAACTCTGGAAAAGTAAAAACTCAAAAGGGGACAATAAAGACTACGGTAATGGCCTAATTGTAATGGATAATGCTCTAAACTATCGATAGACAATGCAACACATGTCTAGAAATTCACTAAATTGTCTCTAACATAAGCAACCATAAACTTAAAAGGAAAAAAGACTTTTTTTTTCTTTTTGGGTACGAGGAGACTAAAAGTCACTAAACCAAAAACACAAACCGAAACATTACACAGACTAAATTTATTACAAAGACCTTCACTGCACTGAAACAAGAAGACTAATATATTGACAAAATTCTTTTCCTTCAAGCATTCTGAGACCGGGACCAGCATTGATGATAAACATGCTAATCAAGGTCTGCCTTGTTAACAACAGCTTTTCATGGCGTCACAACTACCATTGACAATAAAATTTCTAAAAATCCAAACATTTTTAGACCAAAGATATGTTAACTTTTAAGACTTATCTTAGGATAATTGCACCAAAAAGTTATTAAAAAAAAAATCCACAATAAAAAGCAAAAACTACATTGCAGTTATTATTTTATAACAAAACTTATAAGGAACATTAAGACACTACCATAACTACTGCAAAAAAAAAAATTAATAAATTCGTAGAAATAACACAAAAATCTGGTGATGTCAATACCATTCATTCATCCAAGTCCTCTTTCAATCCACGTTCTTGTTAACTTTAAGAAAGAAAGAAAAAAATGATGTCTACAAACTGTAATGGCACAAAGATTAAACCATTAAATCCGATATCAATATTTTTGCATATAATCAGTCCAAACAGCTCAACATCATAAGTACATTTAGAGAAAAGAAAAAGACATGGAATTCGAAGTTCAAACCTTTTCGGGTAAAACTGCCGAAGTAAAGGATGAAGCTAATGAAAACACAAAGACTTAAACAAAGGGCCTGCAGAAAGTAATATAAGTACGTAAGGATCATGAGTCTGGAGAGATATTATAGCGAGGATCACTTGAGTGGGGGTGCATGTTGTTATGACCCTCCATCCTTTACTTTTGAAAAGGGAAGCAGTCATTACTTGACTAGGAAGAAATCTCCAGCTTCACCGTAACCTGAGATTCCAATCTCTGAAATTAAGCATAGCATTCTGACTTCAACTTCCAGCTAAAGACGTGTTAATGGAATCTCCAAAGGAGGCATCAAAGGCAAGAGCTTGTGATGTCGTCATTAACACCTCATTAATTTGAAATTACCTGCTTGCATGGTCCCATGGTTGAATCCTCCACTTCTCATTGACTGAGCATCTGATCAATGCAAAGGGAAGTCCTCGGCTTCTACTGTTTAAAGGATTTTGGTCTAGTAGGCAGTAGCAGAAGCCACTGTGCATGGTATTTGGAAGAAGATTTCGTCCCCATATCATCCATAATGAACTCAAAACTTATTACAACTACTTCTCCTTTCTTTTATTTATTTTTCATTAGTTTTTTTACTTTAGTTAACTTTCATCAATTTTGTGTAAATCAGGTAGGCCTCCGCTTAGTTAGTTTTTCTAACGAGATTGATAAAACTTAATTGCTAATTGCAACTACAGCAACAACTGATGACGTCGATTGAATTATATATAGAAATAATACAATTCTTTGAAGAAACACAAGCCGGCATTAATACAGCAGGTCAATCATATAACAAACGTTCATTAAGTATTCTGCATAAAGAAACCTCTACTAGCAATCTTCATCTATTAGATAACCAAGCTCTCTTTATAAACTTTTCTTGATTCAGCTGC